GAGGTGAATAATTGTTTTAGTATAATTTCATAGGTGATTATTTAGAAAAAAAATAAAAAATAGACATTTCTTCGTCATTTAATTGACAAATTGGCTTCGGCCGCCATTTTGAAAATCGCTTAGGTGATTATCGCGTAATAATCACCTCAACGGCAACCAATCAACGTGGAGAATTTTCAATAATCACCTATGTAATTATACTAATTTGTGTTATTCTAATTTCTATCAACGCGGTTAATTAGAATGCATTTTCAAATCCCAGGAGCAATTGTAAAATAAACAGCACAGACATTGAAATGATAGTAAGCAGCAGAATTACGCAAATTATAGTGTTTGCAGCTTTTTTTATACACCCTGTACAAAAACAACTGTCAAACTATCCGGAATCTGGGCAAACTTCAAAACCACAAAATAGGAGACCTTTCTTTGTTCGATATTGAACCGTACATCACCGTGCACAAATCATTTGTCTCAACTTCATTAAAATTAATATTATCATCGTGGCTGCACCTTTCATCTCGATCAGCTATCCCTATTAGACGGTAACTTAATTATACGAAAATAAAATGAGCTAGGCTCAATCACCGTACGTGATCGTGCACAAATTGTACAAAAACTGTCAAATTATGTGGAAACCAGACAAACTTCAAAGCCACAAAATAGGCCTGGGAGACATTTGTTTGCTTGATATAGAACTGTACGCCACCGTGCACAAATCCTTTCACCTTTGTCTCAACTTCATTAAATATTATCATCGTGGCTGCACCTTTCATCTCGATCAGCTATCCCTGTTGGACGGTAACTTAATTATACGAAAGTACAATGAACTATATCTAGAGCTCAATCACCGTGCGTGACCCTGCATAAATTAACAAAAATTCAGACAAAGACATATAACAAACACTTTTGTTTAGTTTCCGGACCTTGATAGACTGTGACTTTACATTGAAAGATACAGCATTTTGTATCTAGAGCAGACACCAATTCTCGTTCTAATCGCACACTGAACGATCGGGTATATATAACAGCGGGGTGACACAAGATTGGTAAGTAGTTTTTAAAAACCTTATTATTACAGCACACATTTGAATCCTTGTAAGTTGTAGCGAACGTTTGAACTACAAACTTTATACTTGGACTGTGTGTGTTGACCAACGTTTCAAAAATGTTCAGCCTTTATATTAATCCGCTGCACCGCTGGGTAAAATTTCAAGTTTTCAAACGCCCCTTAAAATAATGTGGATAACGTGGATTATGGCTTTTCCAAATTGCAGAATATATTGTCTTATTCCTATTTCGTACTGATTAGTATACTAGAATTTCACATTGATCAACTGGTTGACTACAGACAAACAGTATACAGGCCGGCGGCAGACTGCTATCAGATGTATATGTTACGATTGCTATACACAAACGCCGGTCCCCAGAAAGCTGCTATCCATGCCAGCGTTAATATAATATTAATAATTATAATAATAGCAGTCTTTATTCAATACTCAATTACATACGTCTGAATTTCACGGGTGCATGGGTAGTAGCGAAGTAGTTGTAGTTCTCTACTGTAGCGAACTACAATTTTGAAGTAGCCAGTAGTTATTGACTACTTTCGGACCAGGAACTCGTCCCCAATCGCTGCTAATCTTCTTCTTGTTAGCAGGCGACGCTCTTTGAAAAAACCCTAAGGCTCCGTCATTACTTCTCCGATCGAAACGAAACTTGACATAATTATTCCGCATCGATTGACAGTGTTTGATTTTTCAATTTTGACTTACGAAGCAAGCTACAAGCAATTCTTGACTATATTCGTATTCAGCAAACACATCAGCGAACGCAAACGATAAGAAAGCATTTCCTTCTCTCCATTGTTGTGAACATAATCACAACAGTCTAAAGCTTCTCAACAAGTACGATCGTACTATAGTGGACCAGGAACTGTGTAACCCAGTTTCGATCTTGTGCAAATCGTTTACAAACGTTTAAAACCTTCGAGATTTTGACTTGATAAATTACAAATCAACTAGATACTTGTGAAACTAATGTTCTCAAAGTTGGCAACGTAGATTGAGTTCGCTAAATGTTTTGCTTTAATTTGGTTAACGCAGGATATACTTAATCCGGGCAAAATGTGTCTATTGCCGTGTATAGCCTAAATGAGGTGTAAATCTGGACGAAGCATCTTAACTAAATGCGCAGTTTTCAAAAGTATTTCCTCGCATTTGAATTCGATAGATAAACTAAATGTCCCACAATATTTAGAATAAACATGCCGTGCCTAAGTCAGCGGCTAACTTTTGCTGTACATCAAATTTTGCCGTGCCGTGCGTGCCATAAGTTAAAGTAAGAAATTATCTGAATTGTTGCAAGGTTATACACTTTCATCTCGCTTAGTCATGGCTTCATAACTGCATGCTTGTGTTAAAAACAAATTTACATGTCTTTGTTTTTACGGTTCACGATTTTCTGTCGGACTATGAATATTAAGCCCGCCGCACACGAGAGCAACTTGCTGAGCTAACCGCCTCGCAAGGCGGTTAGCTCAGCAACTTGCTCTCGTGTGCGGATCGATAGTTTTCGTGAGAATTTGACCTCTCGAGGCCTTGAGGAAAATATCTATCGTGTTAGATATTTTTCGCCTTGCGAGGAAAAAACCTCAGCGTCTGCGGATGTTGTGAGCTTAGTGCTGAGCTGTTTGAATCAATTAGCCAATGACAAACCATGGTTTCTTCATGGAGGAAAATGCAAATGATTTTGTCATTTATGTTGTTGTTGAGTAGTTTTCCCAACGTGTGCGGTGAAAATACATAGCTGAGCTAGCTGCCTCGCGAGGCAGTTTATAGCTCAGCAAGTTGCTCTCGTGTGCGGCGGGCTTAAGCCCGATAGCCGGCTTAAGCCAGATATGACAACCAGATAGCAATACTACTCCTCTACGCTTTGAGAAACTAAAGCCCGCGAGGCGGTTAGCTCAGCAAGTTGCTCTCGTATGCGGCGGGCTTTAAACCAGTGTGTTAAATTTAGTCAACTTAACACTTATTGCTGCGGAGCGAGCGAGCCTGAAGCGAGCGAGCGTAGCAGCAGCCTAATATGTGCAGAGAGGGGGTTTTGAACTAAATTTTATTTACAGTGTGACCAGATTATAAAATTCGATTATGCTAAATAGCTGAGAAAATTATGCTAAATCATGATAAATTATGCTAAATGTAGAAAAATTTTGTCGTCGACCTCCCCCCCCGGATGAAAATAAATCTAGCATTTACAACTAGCCAATCAGCATTCAGGATACAAACTTTGAATTTTCTTTTCTTTATTGCTGTATAAATATTCAAAATGGAGGAATTCACAAATTTTGAAAATTTTGACCTTTTAATTTTTAAATCAGCCCTCGAAAATCGTCAAAATTGAGGTCGGCAAAAAATGCCGACCTAAATCTGACCTAGGTCGGCACATCTCCGCTTTTTTTAAATCTGTTTCCATGTCTTGGAGCACTAGTAGCCTTCACTAGTAATCACGTAATACTATTTACTAATCATTGAAAAGTATAAATGTCACGAAGGCTTTTCTTTTATAGTCTCACCTAAATTATATATATAATACCCGTTAATTCTTAAACCTTACACCAAAGTGTATCGAATTCTATAATCGCTCACTTTTTAACAACTATCAGCACAAAAAAAATTCTTACTTTGGCTGAATTAAAGTTGGCAAAAAATTGCCAACCAGGGAGGTTGATAGGTCGGCATATTTTAGGTCGGCATTGCCGAATACCGACCTCGTTCTCGAGGGCTGTTAAATTATATATTTTCTGACGAAAATGACCTACCTGTTCTTCCAGCAGAAGACACCGAACTAGACACAACCAGGAGTTATATCTCAATCAGATTCAGATTAAACTGAACTAAAGAACTTCACTATTTTGAACACGTTATAAACTTGCAAACATGGCTTCCAAATTGTGTGTTGAATTATTCAAACACAGTGTGACCAGATTATAAAATTCGATTATGCTAAATAGCTGAGAAAATTATGCTAAATCATGATAAATTATGCTAAATGTAGAAAAATTTTGTCGTCGACCTCACAGGAATTCTACCGCCTTTGAAGCCTATAACATGCGATAGCCAGTGGCGTACCCTGGCAAAATTGTTGCTCCCCCTGAGAAAATCTGGGCTTAAGATATGTACAAGTTTATAAGTTATTTATACATATCTAATATGCATGGTAGAAAAAGTATTTTTGGATGGTTGAGTCTTTGTGCGTTTTTTGATAACATCTCCAAACTATTAAAGCTTCAAAGGTCGATCTATACAGGATGCAAGTTGAACGTACTGTATATACGATGATTTTAATGCGTAAATGCCAGTTTAGAGAGTCTAGATTTTAAAAAATTTTTGAAGAGGATGCAACCCAATCCACAACAAGTTATTTGTATGAACGATTGAAAAGCTACAGAGCTATATTTGGTGGAACATTGTTATTTCGGAGGGCAGTTAAAAATCGCATTATTGAAATCTTGTTTTATTACATATTAATCAAAGCTCATTTTGTGATTTTCCCTTGTTTAAAATAAAGGACAGTAAGTGTTCCTTAGGTTTAGTACAGCAAAGTTGTTGGACGAATCCATGGCTGAAAACGCAGGAAATAGCATTTCCGAGGTTCAAATTTTTAAATTTTCTCGGGGGAGCATGCCCCCGAACCCCCCAAGGTTACAGGTCATTCATATACTGTACCCTCCCCCATTTTCGAGTACTCTACTCTATCCCTGCATGTTTTAGGTTTTGGTGCACTTATACATTTTTTGTAAGTAAACCTGCACGCTTTAGTGTGGGGAACATTAAGACATAACCATATAAAATAAAGCACAGTGAAAATTCCTTGGCCCCTCTTGGGATTCAGTTCTCGACCTCCTCTGACTGAAAACCCCGGCTACGTCTCTGAGGATAGCTATATGAAAGCCTTAAGTTACTGTAAGCCGTTATTATGAGGGGCAAAAAACATCCTGCCGCGAAATGTATTGGGAAAAAAATATCTTGCGCTGCACTTTTACAGGAAAAAAATATCTGTCTTATTCCCCAGGGCCGAATAAAATCCCTCAAAAATCAAATGGTCCGCCCCTAAGGAGAAAACTCTATAACAACAACGACAACAAACAACAACGACAACAAACAACAACGACGACGACGACGAGATTAGCAGCGAGTGGAGACCAGTTCCTGGTCCAAAAATATGAACGACTAATATTAATTATAATGATTCATTATAAGCGCTAAGTTTGACTAAATTTAACACGCTGGCTTAGTTTCTCAAAGCGCAGAGGACTAGTATACATATCGATCTGGCTATCATATAATATTCATAGTCATATAGGAAATCGCGAACCGTAAAAATAAAGACATGTCAATTCAGGTTTTCTGTACAAGTTAGTTAGGAAGCCACGACCGGCCAGAAATGAAATAGCATACTGAAAAACGAAGCAGTAGTTTAGATTATTCATTTTTTGTTTATCAAGTCAAAATCTCCAAGGTTTTACCGAACGTTTACCGATTTGCACATGCAAGATCGGAACTCGGTCACGCAGTTTCTGGTCAACTATAGTACGCAACCTCGTACCAAGGGACTTTCCTCTAGGGGAGCAAAGACCCTGGTAGACGCTGGTCACGTGATCTGCTAAAATCTAGCAGATTTTTAATTAGCAATCCAAGATCAGGTCAATAAACATTTGATAATTGGATTATTTTGATAGTTTAATTTGTAATTGCATTTTGTATGATTGTCGTAAAGAAAACCAAGATAGTGAATAAAAAATCTGCTAGATTTTAGCAGATCACGTGACCAGCGTCTACCAGAGTCTTTGCTCCCCAAGAGGAAAGACTTTGGGTACGAGGTTGTACAGTACGTTCGTACTTGTTTTAAACAGTAGCTGTAGTTATGGCGTAGTAGCGAACTACATTTTGCCTAACTGAAGTAGCCAAGTATAGTCGACTACTTTTCAAACAGCGAATCGCTATTCGCTAAATTTAAAATTATTAGCAACTTGCTAGAATAGAATGATATGAAGACACGGTTTGTTTTCTGGCGTGTTGTACAAAAAAATATAATAAAAATATCATGGTGCCATGG